ACTGCAATAGGACCCAGATGCAGACAGGATTCACATTTCTATCCCAGGCACGGGCGGTGACTTTCAGCGTGAGTGAAAGACCCTTTCCCCTGGCTCTGTTTCAAATTCATCAGTCTGAATATTAATAGAGCATTACTACAGAGGCACATAGCTCAGGACTGACTTCAAAACCTAGGCGAAGCTGAACAAGCACACTCCATCAGCACTCACACCGTGAGAAGGAGCAGAGCTCCTTCCTTTAAAGCTTTTCAACGTATGCCTACCTATAACCACGGTGTCAGCATCGCTGCAGCTCTCTGCGTTCCCTCTGACATGGGAACAGCAAAGTGAGGACAGGGAAGCCAAGTGCTGACTCCAAGGCAAAGCAGCAAGGAGAAGAAGTAAATCTGAGAATTAAAAGCAAAAACATTAGGAGGCTTTTGGGTTTGCTGCATGAGTGGTGTTCCTCAGGGGTGGGTGTTGGGACCGGTGATGTTTAACACCTTTGTCGGTGACATGGGCAGTGGGATGGAGGCACCCTCAGCAGGTTTGTGGGTGACCCCAAGACGTGTGGTGCAGTAACACACTGGAGGGAAGGGATGTGCCACCCAGAGGGACCTGGACAGGCTGGAGAGGTGGGACCGTGTGAACCTCATGAAGCTCAACAAGGCCAAGTGCAAGGTCCTGCCCTTGGGTCGGGGCAATCCCAAGCACAAACACAGGCTGGGGGATGAGTGGACTGAGAGCAGCCCCGAGGAGAAGGACCTGGGGGTATCAGTGGATGGAAAACTGACTGTGAGCCAGCAATGTGCACTCACAGCCCAGAGAGCCACCCGTGTGCTGGGCTGCACCCAGAGCAGGGTGGGCAGCAGCGTGAGGGAGAGGATTCTCCCCCTCTGCTCTGCTCTGTGAGACCCCCCTGCAGGGCTGGGTCCAGCTCTGGGGGCACCAACAGCGGGACATAGACCTGCTCGAGCAGGGCCAGAGAAGGCCACGAGGATGATCAGGGGTTGGAGCACCCCCCATTATGTGAAGACAGGCTGAGAGAGTTGGGGGGTTCAGCTGGACAAGAGAAGGCTCTGGGGAGACCTTAGAGCAGCCTCCCAGGGCTGAAAGGGACTGCAGGAAAGATGGGGAGAGACTTGTTATCAGGGTTTGCAGTGATAGGACAAGGGGTAACAGTTTTAAACTGACAGAGCGTAGATTTAGATGAGATCTAAGGCAGAAATTGTTCCCTGTGAGGGGGGTGAGGCCCTGGCACAGGTTGCCCAGAGAAGCTGTGGCTGCCCCCTCCCTGGAAGGGTTCAAGGCCAGGTTGGACGGGGCTTTGGGCAACCTGGGCTAGTGGAAGGTGGCCCTGCCTGTGGCAGGGGGTGGGACTGGATGATCTTTAAGGTTTCTTCCAGCCCAAACCATTCTGTGATTCTGTTACAGGGTTAAAACCTTTGAAGAAGAGCATGGAGGGAAAAGGAGAAAAATGCAAGAGTTGTTTTTGCAGGGCCTGTAGGCTCTGATGGGTAATGGCAATCCTCTCCTCAGCTACAGCACCTTTGGGTGAAGCACTGTCACCTGCAGCACTTACAGACACCAGACTGAGCGTGTGTAACTAATTATCAAAGTGAAGTAACTGGAAAGAGCAGAGAGCTGTACCACCCTCACCTGTTCAGCAAGAAACAGAACACCTGCATTAGTCATGAAATTGTGGTCAAGGGGAATGCTTCCTCCACAAGAAGTTCTCACCATTAGAAAGTTGGGGCGTAGGAGGAGGGCAAGGCCTGGTTTAACCTGAAGGGAGTGTTTATTCATCTGCTAACGAGGCAGGGCAGGCCCACGGTAAGTTGTGAGGAGCACACTCATCCTCACTCATGTCTGCACCAACTTCTCCCACCCACCAGTGTTATTCCAACACAGCTGGAGTCAAGGTTTGTGTCTGCACAGAAGCAGAGACAAGAGCCATGGCACGTGTTTTTTTTTTAAAGCTCCTCCCTCGGCAAACCATTGCTCTTTTCTTGCCCTTTCAAAGCTGCACAGGTGTAAAGAGAGACAGAAACAGCTGAAGAGAGACCAACCGGCTTCTCAACATCAGAAAGGGCTAAGAAAGTTAGGAGGGACAGAGGAATATTTGAAACCCTGCACTTTTTGGACAGCTGCCATCTAGAAGCACAGCCCGTCCACCTGCCTAGAGGCTCTGGAACAGTCAGCAGAAAGTTAAACATACCTACGAGTGTTTGAGAGTCACTGCGGGGGCTGTATCCTTCTCTGTGCCTCAAGTCATGCCTCACTTCTGCGGCTGAAGGAAGGGCTTCAGCACTAAGCAGCATCCTTCATCACTGCTCTTACACCTCTACGTAAGGATGACAAAACAAGGATACATCTGCATAGGATTTTATTAGAGGTGGTATCATCCACAACTTAGAATAGTTGAAAAAATATTCTTAACAACTTGGTTTTGTTTTTCCTGAATAGGTAATGCAACAGCGAAAATGCTCAAATGTCACAAAAGAAGTCTCTGCCCAGAAGTCAAACTTCAAACTGGTAGCAAAAGTGAGACGTCTTGTAACTTATCAAATTGGTTTAATACAGAAAACACTGTAACACAGTTACAACAGAAGTTAAGGGGGAAGATATAGAAAAAAAATACATGCATCATTGGTCACAGGTTGAAAACCAGAATTTCAAACAGGTCTCAGACCTTGTCGACATATCTCATCAGTCCTTGATTATCACCACACTGTTACCTCCAAACCACTCTCTATTTCAATATGGTTTATTTCAGATTTTGCAAAATAGAAGTTTCTTCAATGGCTGCTCCTAAACGAAGTCAGAGACTTTTGTCAGGGAAGAAAAAAAAGAAACTTTTGAACACAACGCCAAAGGTTTGAATTTCACCTTATCCAAAGCTCTCGTGGAATGCCACAACCAAGGACAGCGTGTTTCAGAAGAAAGAACATTCTTGCTCTTCACTCTTGTGAGTGTTAAGTGGAGCTCTCAAGAAGGGTGAGGGGAGTAGAGCCCACCTTGACTTTGAGTGAAGTAAAGAAATGGAGTGAGACACGTCAACAACTCTATTTTACATGTCTCGTGGAACGGAGGCAGTGAGGAGTCCCCAGGAACTGGATTATGAAAGACTGAAATGGACATTTCCGCTCTTATCAAAGCCCTTCATCTGACAACTCGGTGTAACAGTTTCCTAGGAGATAATCCTGTTTTGGCAGGGCAGAGGACAAAACCTGAGCCAGTCTTTCCTTGTCGAGTATAAATGGAGGGCCAACTTTGTTGGCCCATTGGGCCAAATATTACACTTGAACAATGTGACAGTTGCAACAGTGGCCCAAGTTTAAAAACTTGTTTTTTCAGAAACATAAGCAATATAAAAAAAAAAAAAAAAGCTTCAATAAGAGGCCACAACCTTAGAGGTTTTTGAGCTTAAATACTTGGGAAACACATACTTTGCCAAGAGATGAAACAATAAGATACATACAAAAACAAGAGATACAAGTTTAACAAATGTTTAAAATAACTGGGTTTCACCACAGAATCTTCACTTGAAGGTTACTTTCATGAGAAAACATATTCCCTGCAGCATGTAGACTCCTTCACAAAGGGACAGAAATCTGGTCATGTCAGTTACCCACTTACTGAGGAAACACTGCAGGGTTACAGAGAGTGTAACAGACTCACAACTACCAAAGCATCGCCACAGAAAACATAGCAAACAAGTTGTAGGTAAAAAAAAATAAAATAATCATACTTGAACGTGTTTACCTACACACGCTATTGGAGCATACAAGACTAGAAGGAGGGAGAGCTTCATATAGGGAATTTTCAGTCATTTTGAAAATGAAAGATATTTTTTTCTTTGAAAAAAAAAAATAAAATCCAAAGTTTCCAGATGCTGTTTCTCAAGGCATGCTACAGCTACAGTAGCTGATGGCTCAGAGTCACATCCACGGAAACTGATATTTTACCTAAAACTGCTTTCCTGTCTCTCCAATTTGTCATTTCTCAAAGCCTCCTAAGTAGCTTCCAAACACATTCCTTGCGTGCATCTATTAAGACTCCCTTGTTAATCCCAGAATCTCCTGTGCGTGAAACATAACGAGCAGAACAGCCCTTAACTGCAGCCAGAAGATGGTTTGTTTCTGGATCCCTCTCTAAAGATTAAAAGCGTGTGACAGTTACACATAAATAGCATCTACAAATGCACTTACAGTGCACGTGGAAAATGTAGTGAACATGAACAGATTTCAAAGGCTCACCTGACTACCGTAAGGCTCCATCATCAGCCCACCTTTAACACTTGCTCCAGGCAGTATGTCATCGTGCTAGCACGGCAAACAACTGGGATCACACCAAAAGTAGTGCTAATTAACAACAAACCCATACCTGGGCATTGCCTTCTTGAAATACACCCCAGATTCACATACATGTAACAGCTCGTCGGATTTCAGATCTGCCTCCGAGGTTAAACGGAAGGCAGCAGCACTTTCAAAGAACAGGACAAAGCTTAGCTTGTAAACCCTGTTTTTTTTAAAGCATAATGAGAATTCAAGTCCTATTCCCCTTCACATTTATAAGCATTATAAGAATAATGCCACTTTGTATGCCATACATATAGAAAAGTGTATGTTTATACAGCTATATATATATATATATATATAAATAGAAACTATCGACCAAAGTTTGATTTCAAACTAGAATTGCAACGACCCCTGCAATTTGGAAACATGAAGGAGCTCTTCTGATCTCTCTTTTGTAAGCAAAGAGTAGGAAGGATCATATCTTACTACTATCTAACATCCTCCACAAGGAAAATGAAAAACCTAACGTTAACTTTGCGGGATATGCCCGAAACAGCAGGTTTGACAATATTGTCCCATGTTGTTTGCCAAAGAAGAGGCAGGCAGCAGGAATGATTGGAGAGTCATCAGCCAGGAGTAAGTGCTGTCTCTT